AAGATGATGAAACCAAGAATTAGCAGTTGAAGTGCCCACAGCAAGGAAGAGGATTTAATCCCTAATCTGACATAATATTTCAACTTGTTTTTTTATGAATATGTAAATAGGACTGTTCAAGATTCCAGTTGCCTATTAAAATATGTAATAATTGGTTCCAAATTAAGAAATTTGTAAAGTTTTTCTCCATCCCCTTTGTCCTCCTTTATATTCTTTTCAAGGAAGAGAGCATCCAATAAATATTTAATGGGATGTTTGTGATTTTTTTCTTTAGTAATTATTCTACAGTGATAAAATAATATGGGCTATGTACCCTTAGAGCCCTTATTTTTGGGTTCTACAGAAAATAGTAGGAACACTGGTCCCAGAAGTTAGCCTCTCATCTTTTACTAGAGAACAATAAAAGCACTCTAATGAAGAGAAATAAAAATAAGAGGCGATAAAAATTCTGAATTTTATGGTACTTGGACACATACAATGCTATATAATAAAATGCTAATATGCAAATTGTCCCCTCGGGAGTTCAACTGCTCGCTATGACATGTGCTGACCACCAGGGGGCGGCACGGAATGAAGGAAGGCTCCCGCTGGCAGCTGGTAGCTGGGGGAAGGAAGGCCCCATTTGGCCCTGATCGGGACCAGGCCTAGGGAACCTACCTGGACACGAATTTTGTGCACCAGGCCTCTAGTGTTCATATAATTTCAAGTATCTGAGGAAATGGAACTGAATGAAAGTATTTAGCAAGCTGAGGCCCTGCCTCACTCCCACTGTTTTAATGAGTAGATAAGGATGATTTGCAATCAATACATCATCTGATGGCATGTAAAACAAGGGCTTCTAAAGTGCTTAACGAAGGTTGAAATGGTTTCATTTCTTAAGTAGTTCAAACTATCCACTGTGGCTCACTACATCCTTTTGAAACAGTGTCAAACCAGGTCTGAACTTTCACAGAGTCTCAGTTGGAGAATTCAGAATTCAGTGAAACTTTAAAGTGCCCAACGAGTCTAAAAATACACTACCAAATCTGGTCCAATCCTGAGGGATTAAATTGTGAACATCCTGGAACTAAAATCTAATGACTTGGGCACCCACCCAGTGGGCCATTGAAGAGGGAAGAATTGAAAGTTTAGTTAAAGCAAGTTTCTTCCAGGTAAGCCCTAGGTGTTACAGACGAAGAATTAAAAGCCTGAGAAGTGAAAGAATAAAGGAGGAGCCAAACGTGCTTTCCTGACCGAAAACTTCTATGGGGAAGGAACCTTTGCTTTTTCTAGACAAGAGGCCTTCAGCTGGCCCCCAGCCCTCCACCCCGCACTGCGGGCCTGTCCCGCGCCGCTGCCATCCGGATGTAGTCTTGGCGTCCTCCAGCCCCAGGCCCCACCTGGAGTCTCAGCGGCACGGGCGCCACTCGCCTTCTACCAGCAGCAACAGCAGCAGCAGCAGCAGGAGGAGGAAGAGCAACAGGATCAGCAACATTGCGCGCCTTTGGTGGTGGTGGGGGGATGGGAGGGGG